TGGAGCCTGTCTCAGAGCACAGACACTGTGCGGGGTACGGGGGCCATGGATGGGGCAGCTGTGCAGCGTGCTCACAGGGTCGGACTTTTCCTCCTGCAGCGTGTGTCAGGGTAACTGAGAAGCCAGGACCCTCTGGGGCTCGCTCTCCTACCAGGGCTGGGTCCCTGGGGCACGTGCAGGCTCCATGCCAGGCCTCTCACCAGGCTGCCCAGTCCTGACCCCACGGTGTCCCTCTCCACAGCCGCTCCTGCAAAACAGCGAGGTTCTCGGAGAACCTCTGCCCATCACCTGCCTAGTGTGTGCTGGTGGCATTTATTTCTCCAGGCTACTGTCCCTTCTGAGCGCGCACCGGAACAGAGCTGCTGGCCCTCAGGCTCTGGTCTTCACGGCAGCAGAGTGCTGGGCTTTCCCGCCATCCTCTGTGAGCAGCCAGACACTGAGCGCTTCCTGCCTTGCTCCCGCAGTCTCTGGGGCCAGAGCATGTGGCCTGCCGGCGGGCAGGCAAGCCACAAGGTCGGGACACTGCGTCCCCCACAAACCTGTGTCTGAAACAGGGAGAAACAGGCTTCCAGGGTTTCTGGGTGCAGATTCTGAGCCATCGGAGGGTCGTGCCCTGGCCTTGGGCCAGGCCTTCTTACCACCGAGCCTCCCTGATTCCCATTTGCTTCCCCAGCCCCTCCCTGAGGGCCGCCTGCCTCAGCCTCTCCCATAGTCTCTGGTCAAGAATGTGCCAGGCAGGGCCTCCCTGATAACTGGGACTGTCCCCATCACCCTGCTGCCCCTCTGCTCTGAAGTGGCTTCTCCAGGCCTCTGGGCTGCCATGCAGTGGCACTCAGCAGAGCCTGCTGGGCAGAGAAGGGGCATGGCTGGGTTCCTGGCAGAGGGGAGCCGGGCACCAGTGGGCCTTTTTGCCAGGGCTGTGGGGCAGATTAGCAGGCATCTCTGTGAGGCACCCAGGCGGCCTCAGGCAGCCCCAGGCTTGGATGCAAAGCCTCGAGGCTCACGAGGCAGCAGCTGCTCCTGCCAGGCCACCCTCAATCTCGGGCCGTGACTGTGCCCTCTGCAGGGATCCACCTCGCTGGTGGCAGCAGGGGATGGGCAGGTGAGCTGTGTCTCACCTCCTGCCCCCCCCCCCCAACTGCAGTGTGGACCTGGTCCACGCCCAGATCCACGTGGCTGAGGGCCGGAGTCTGCCGGACCTGGGTTTACGGCAGGAGACCATCCGCATCAACGGCTGCGCCATTCAGTGCAGGGTCACCACCGAGGATCCCGCTCGAGGCTTCCAGCCCGACACGGGCCGCATCGAGGTAGGCAGAGCCCCTCCCAAAGCCCTGCGCCAGCTAGTGGCCCCGGCTGGCAGAGCTGCCTGCAGCTTAGAGCACAGGGATCCAGGCCTGGGCAGGGAGAGTGAGCATGCCCAGCAAGGAGAGTTTGTGTGGTGCTTAGCCACGGAGCCCGGGCCGCTGGCACGCTGAGGGGAAGGGGTGACCGGGTCCCAGGCCACCAGGCAGGGTGGGGACGGGTGGGGTGGGGCGGGAGGAGACCCACCGACCTTGGAGCTTGCGTGTCACGTGCTCACAGTGCTGTGTGGGGAGGGGCAGGGGGAGCGGGCCCGCTTGCTGCCCCGACTCCCCTCTGCCTGCTCCGTGGTCCTCTCCCCGCCTCCTCTAGCCTCAGGCTCCCACCCTCCCTTTGGTGCAGGCAGGTCAGCTCAGCACCTCCCTTCGGCAGGACCCTGGGGCGGGTTGTGGACAAGGTCAAGCTAGCAAGGGTTGGGCTGGATGGGTGCTGTCCAAGTCCAGCTGGGGCTGGAGGCAGGGAGCGGAGCCCAGGTAGCGATTCTGGAAAGGCTAGGCCGTAGGTGGACCCGCCTGCCCGGCCCTGCCCGCCACGGGGTCTGCGCTACGCCGCAGCCGGTCCGCCAGCTGGCTCTCCACAGGGTATTTTTAGCTGACAGTTCCTGCTCACGGCTGAGCCTTTGCCATAAATATTTTATTAAGTTCCTCTGATCCGATACAGGCTGGTGCCCCTCTGGGCTGGACGTGGGGTGCCAGGGTGTCCACACCCCCGGGATGCCCCTGCCAACAGGGGCCCCTCTTCGCACCCCCATGGAGTCAGCCTCCTCCAGGCACGGGGGCGTGCCCATGGACACAAGTACATGCATACGAATGCGCTGGGCTGCCCCTCTCCTTCCTGTTGGCTGCTTCCTGGGGGACAGCATTCACTATGTGGCCTTCCCCTGTACCCCGTCATTTGGGAGGAGAGGAAAATGGGTGGACATCGAGTCTCCCCTTCCCCGGCCCCGCCTGCCTGTCCCTGTCCTGGCTTCATTGGCCCTCAGCACCCCGTCACCATTTGCCAACCTAGCCTCTCCCCTCGTAGCCCTCGTGGGGCAGGGGTGCCACCTCACCTGTTCTCTCCCTGGGTCAGTGGGAGGAGCAAATGCAAAGGGTGTGGCAGGGCCTCCCTCTGACACCCTCCTGGTGCAGGTCCGTGTCCCTGCCCCCTGCCCCACACAGGTGGGCTTGGGGGTTTTGCTGGCTGAAGCAGAGGGAGCTGTGGGAGCCCAGTGCCGCGGCCCCCGCCCCAAGCCTAGGGTGGTCACATCCGCGCTCCATGCCCCAGGTGTTCCGGAGCGGAGAGGGCATGGGCATCCGCCTGGACAACGCCTCCGCCTTCCAAGGGGCTATCATCTCCCCCCACTACGACTCCCTGCTGGTCAAGGTCATCGCCCACGGCAAAGACCACCCGACGGCCGCCACCAAGATGAGCAGAGCCCTGGCTGAGTTCCGAGTCCGTGGTGTGAAGGTGAGCGGCCCCAGCCCGGTCATGGCCCTGGCCCTGGCCTGGCTCCGGGCTCCCTCCCTGCCATGGCCAGTCCCCCGGTGTGGACGGCCTGAGCCGCTCATCGTCTGCCAGGCGGGGGATGCGTTCTGGCAGCCTCACGCCTTCCTGCCTCTGTGCCCTGAGCCACACCCGCCAGACCATCACCTGCCCAGGGCCCTGATCCTCCCCAGGGTGTGCCCATTTCCAGCAAAGCGGGAGACCTCCAGCCGTGGGGAGGAGGTCAGGCTTTGGAATCAGACCCTTCTGCCAGCCTGGTCCACACTGAACACTGTGCTTGTGGGACAGGTAGGCAGGAGGGTGGCAGCAGCTGGGTGCAGGGTCAGGTCATGCCACTCATGGCCTCGTGTGACTCTGCCGCTGAAGCAGCAGCTGGCCACACAGCAGCTGGGCCAGTGCTACAGCCTCCTTTCCCCAAGCTGGGACAGCTTGCGTGCATGTGTTGGGGTGGCGTGTTTTGGGGCCCAGGGCCCCCGTCAGTTCTTGGGGGAGCAGTGTGCTTACATTCCAGCTATTGCTCCCTGACACACGCACACCACGCCACCCTGTTGTGGGGAGGGGGCGATGTCCTGGCTGTGGGGGCTCAGGGCACCCAACCTGGGTGTCTAGTGGCCACTCCAGTGATGGCGGGGCTGTGCTCTGCCCCGGGCATGGGCCTGGCCCATGCCCCTGTGGAGGTGGTGGCTGATGTTTCCCACTCGCCAAGTGCCCCATCCCTTCCGTCACCCCTCATAAGACCCTTAGACGGCACCTGGGCCCGACCTAGGGGCCCTGAGGAAAAAAGGGGTTGGCAGCAGCTTCTGGGGGTGCTATGGCTTTCCCAGGTGTGACCCTAGACCAGGCCACGGGTGCTCCCTCATCGAGCACCGTCCTGTGCCCCTGGCACCCCTTTTTACCGGCCCTGCCTTGCCCTTCTGCGGCGCCAGGCAGCCCAGCCAAGACCTGCGCCTGGTTTGAGGCTGGCAGAAGGGCTGGGCTCTAGGTCGGAGGCTGTAGGAACTTGGGCCCAGACGAACGAGGTTTCCCTTCTTGGGCGTGGGATTCCAGCAGGGGAGTGACCTGCAGGCCTGTGGCACACGTGTGCCCATGAACCTGCCTCTGGGTCCCCTGCCCACAAGGGAGGCCACACTGGTTGGGCTCCCAGGGGGGTCCAGTGCACAGCCTCAGGGCCTCCCCAGAGGGCCCCAGGGCAGTGGGTGCTGCAGCCCTTGTCCAGTCCCTGTGGGATAGCACGTCCCAGACCCAGAAGAAGCCTGGGGGTCGGGGGACAAGGGCTGGCATGCTTTTACCACGTGCTGAGAAGGTGCTGCCAGCTGGATTTCTGTCCTCCAAATGGCTGTCCACCCCCCACCTCAACCCCCCACGCCCCGTCCATCTGCCAGGGGCTGACATGACCAGCTGCCTGTGGGGGCACCCATCTCCATACCCACCCCTCTGGGCTGGGGCCAGTGACCCAGCAGACACCTTGTGGCCACATCCCAGGGCCCCCAGACTGCTCCGGCCCTTCCCTGCCCCTGCCCTGTCTGGACCTGGGAGGTCTGCCCCCCCCACGCCCCCCCACTTCCTCAGGAAGCCTAGCAGGATGGACAGCCAGAGGCCTTCATGGAGGTGTCCCCAACAGTTTTATTATCAATAAAAACAAGACTGCTGCTTGGTCAGCGGAAGCCCCCCGCTGCTGCCTACAGGCCAGGTCCAGGGAGGGTCCCCGTCAGGCTGAGTTGAGGGGACTCTGAGGTACCGAGAATAAAAGCCGAGAGGCCCCAGGCAGCGCCTACTTACCGGGGGCGCCTGCCTGTGCATTGGGCGGGCCGATCTGCAGCATGGAGGGCCTCAGGGTGCCCTCACACTACACTCTCCTCCAGCCTCTCTGCACTACCCCCGACCCCCCGGCACCCTGCCCCGAGCAGCCCCCCATGCACAGAGTGGCTCCGCCGAGCCCAGACCCCTCCCAGGCGCCTGGCATAGCCGTAGCACCCACCGCTGTCCCCCAGGTCCAAGGAGCAGCTGCGCTGTGGGCGGGGTGGGGGGCTCCGGGGCGGGTGGCTCTTGGGTGTGGGGCTGGGACCTCCATTGGTCTGAGACTGGACGTGGCTGAGCTTCAGGGGCAGGCGGCCATTCCCAGCGCCCCGGCCCCGAACCAGCAAGGCCACGGTGAAGACCAGCAAGGCGGCCACCAGCACGCCGCCCACAGCCACAGTCAGCGTCCCACCCAGCACATGGGCCTGCAGGGCATGGCACAAAGGTGTGGCTGGCAGCGTGGAGAAGTGGGCACAGCCCAGCAGCCTGGTGGCCGTGAGGTCAGAGGGCCCGGCGACAGGCGACAGGGCCAGCAGGCAGAGGTCATAGTCCGCACCGGGAACCAGGTGCTTCAGCAGAAAGTGGTGGCTGGAGGCAGGGACGATCCTGGGGGTGAGGGGAGGGGTCAGAGTGCAGGTCAGGCTCCGGCTCAGCTCGCACAGCCCCCCGCCTGACCCCAGGACCACCCTTGTGGGTTCACACGAGAAGGTAGAGCCAAGACTGGGCGCTGTGTGGGCCAGGGGAGCAGAGCGCTCCACTCAGGGGCGGGCGTGTGCACTGACACACTGCGGGAGCCGGGCTGCCAGGCACCCCAGCAGAGGCGGGCACAGCCCACGGGCAAGAGCACAGACAAAGCCACCCCCATGCAGGAAGGCCCCAGTGGGCCAGTGCTCTCCCCCTGCATTCCACCCCACCCCCACCCCCCCAGTGCCGCGGGGCCCGGGTGAGGGCCGTGGCGAGAGCGTGGCTGGCGTGGGGTCCTCACCGGTAGATGAGTGCTTCGTCCTCACTGCTGTTGTACTGGATCTGGAACATCCACACCGGCTCCACTGGCCGCCCGGGCCCCCAGCTCACCAGCCCCGAGGTGGCCGTCACCTCTGTCACCTGCACGGCCGCTTCGGTCTCTTGCGTCCCCTCAGCCTCGGCAGCAGTGCGAGCCGAGGCAGCGATGTCCGAGGGCCCCGGGCGGCCACCCTCGGTGCTGCCATTCCCGCCGTGAGGCAGGGCCAGCACCCGCAGCTCCACTCGCGCCGTGGCCTCGCCAGCAGGGTTGGTAGCAATACAGGTGTAGTCCCCCGCGTCCCCAGCACCAGTCACCCCGAGCTCCAGGGTCCCATTGGGGAAGGCTCGGGCCCGGGAGGAGTTGCCCACCAGCCGGTCATCAGGGCCGACCCAGTGCATGGTGGGCGTGGGGTCGCCCAGGGCCCGGCACCGCAGCGTGGCCCGCTGGCCCTCCAGCACCCAGAGGCGTTGCGTGTGGCGGGCAATGAGGGGCGGCTCGCAGGAGAACTCGCCCTCAGGTACGGCCCAGAAGTAGCGGCCGGCCAGGCCTGGTAAAGAAGCGCAGGTCTCTAGGTCATCAGGCCGCGCCAGCCGCCGCAGCCACAGCAGCTCGCAGTTGCAGTGCAGCGGGTTCCCGCTGAAGCTCAGCACCAGCGGGGCCGGGGATGCCTCCGCGTCCCGCCCCCGAGAGAAGAGCGGGTCGGGCGCCAGCGTGGCCAGGCGGTTGGAGGTGAGGTCGAGGCGGGAGAGCTGGCCGAGCTGGGCGAAGGCGCCCGGTGGCAGCGCGTCAATGAGGTTGTGGTCCAGGTTAAGCGTGTGCAGAGCAGGCATGGCCCCGATGCCGGCCCAGGGCACCTGCCGCAGGTTGTTGTAGGACAGGTCCAGGTCCTCCAGGCTCTCCAGGAAGTCGTCGAAGGCGCCCGGCGCGATGCGGCCCAGCTGGTTGCCGCTGAGGATGAGGTGCTGCAGGTTGCCCGGCCCGCGCAGGCTGCCAGCGCCCAGCTCCACCAGCCGGTTGCCGTCCAGGTGCAGCGAGCGCAGGCTCTCCAGGTCCCCGAAGGCGCGGGCGCTGATGCGGGTGATGGCGTTGCGGGACAGCGTCAGGTCCACCAGCCCGGTCATGTTGCGGAAGTCAGGGGGGCCTAGGGCCTGGATGAAGTTGTCTGCCAGCCGCAGCTCCACCGTGCGCCGGTCCACGTTGGGCGGCACGAAGAGCAGGCCTCGGTGGGCACACAGGGTGCTGAGCGACTCGGACAGGTTCTGGCAGACGCAGGGCAGCGGACAGGCGGCCGCTCCACTGGCCAGCAACAGCAGCAGGAGCGGTGGGGCCATGGTGAGCGGCCTGCAGAGGAAGGGCGGGACACAGCCCAGGCACAGGTGGGGCTGGTGCAGGTGCCCACCTGTGTGGCTGCAGTTCCAGGAGATGGGGGGAGTGTCCGAGGCTCAGCCCCTCCCCCACTTGAACTGAGGGCCGGCTGGGGCCTGCAGGGTCAGGCCCCCAGGGGAAATCACATGTCCCCAGCGGCAGGGGGGAGACCAGGCACTGGGGACAAGGTGAGGCACGAGGCAGGAAGCGGAGGTGGGCACGCGAGCAGGGAGGGTCCCGGAACTTCCTTTTTCAGGCGTCCCCAGAACCGCCAGTCTCCCATCCCCCTCCGGACAAGGCCCCCAACCCCCACCAACG